GCTGAAAGAAACTAAAATGAAAATCCTCGAACCTTAAATAATAAATTAATAACATTTAAATCCGTCAAATCTGTACAACTCGGGAATCCATCTAGTGGACCCCTAATAATTCCAACTGGTAAAACATTTACAGAATCAAAATCCAAAACCAAAATAAGAAAGAATATCCTATGTAGTCGGAAGAGTGAGTGACTGTATCTGCATCACCATGATCAAACCCTAAGCCTGGTACTCACGAACACCTGAAAAATAGGAGTGGGTCAGGCCCACATGCAAGTTCCAATCTACTACAATCCGTACATAAACCCGATACGCAGATACATCCTAGATAGCTCGGCAATATCTACAATAGTCTATATATATATATACACACTATAGGATGCTCACTAGCCTATAACATAGTTCAGCCTGAGTAGAAGGTGACCTATAAAACACGTTTTTCAGCGGCCAAGTACCTAGACCTACCAGGGAACATTTGCTATATCTAGCTACTCAACCTTTGCAATATACGCACCCTAACCGTGATCAGGAGACTCAAGCTCATATCACGGTACCATAAATATATATATAAATTCCTTCCTAAATCCAGAAAGATAAAACAAACAACCGTTATGTCGTTCAACTGTTTTAGTTGACAAGACATGTATCTATGTAGGAGTTAACTATTTTAGTTAATCTATTCCGTATGTATGAAGGGGTAGGACTTAGCTGTTTGATCTAATCCACCCCTAATATGTCACCGTCCCATGCCGGTGCATATAATGCAAATGATCCTTGAATGATGCAACATTTTAAGCAGTTCATCAAATCATATCCACGTAATCTAAATAGTTGATATACATAATTTAAACAGTTCATCAACTAGCAATCCAGAATCCATCCACGTAACTAATCAAGACAAGGTTTAATAGTTCACCAAGTTAAAATCCAACATCCATTTATATAATTGATAGAAAATATATATATAGTTATTTCTTCAATTAATTCCCAGCCAACATCCAATTAAATTAACAGAACCCAAATATTAGTTCAGAAATTTAAGTCCAAACTATAACCCAAGTAATTGTAAAATAGTGCTTAATATCACAGCAATTACTATCCAAGCTCAAATCTATATATCGCTGAAAAAGAATTTGTATTTCATTAATTAATATCCAAGGTATGCATAGATCAACCATGATATATAAATGATCCTAGCATGCTACTATAATAAAATTTATAAAGATATATATACTCCGTTAAACTGCTGAAATTAAACTGGGCAATTAAACCCATTCCTTCCATTAACAGGCTGCACCGTTGGACTTTCCTACGGTTAAATCCATGAATATAAAAACATTAATTTATCAAGTGTGGCTCCAATATAGCCCAATATCATGTTTAAAGTCCATGCTACCATCCGTTAAAATTTTAAAACAAGACTTAGCAACTTAGTCCTTCCGATCCATTAGCAGCGTACAAAGTCGCTTATTTTTACACTGTTTATTCCATTTGCCCTATGAACCAAATCATACACTTAGATGGTTTAACATCCCTTGAAATTACTTTTAGAATTTTCATTCCAGTCCCTGAAACCATTTAAAATCCCAAACATGGCCCAAAAGTGCCCAGACAAATTCCAGAACGCACCCAAACAAGACCCAACCAAAGGAGCCTGTTCTAAAAATCAAGAGCAGGCTCTTTTTACCTTAGAGCCGGCTCCCTAACCCCTTGGAGCCGGCTCTATAAAGGGGGGAGCCGGCTCCCACCTTCTAGAGCCGCCTCTCTCCTCCTTTGAGCCTTCTCCTCTGCTCTAACTTCTTTTCTGCTTCGTCCGGTTACCTTCTGTGTTTCCGGCGACGTCCAATATCCTATTCCAGACTTCTTAAGATTATTAGAGGTCAATTAAAGTTCTTAAACCCTTAGAGACTCCTCTTATTCCAGTGTGAACCGATTGACAAAGAACTTAAACTACACACAACAGTTTATGCAAGAAAAACTAAATTCAGTTTAACTAAGCATACGAACAGTTTAAAGTCTGAAACATATATCAACAATTCATTTTAAAGTTTTCAGTGTTAAATTGTAGTCCAAACCATCCTAAGAAACTCCTTACGAATAAATTTACAGAAGTTTAAAACCATACTCAACACAGTTTTATGCAAGAACCAAATTTCAGTGATTTAAACCATAAACTGATTACAGTCTGATACATTATGCGTCAATCATGAATTTTTTTAAAAGTTTAATTAGTCCCTGGAGACTATAAAGAATGCACATAACACAAGTTTACAGGAAGGAGAGAAGGAAACTTGCCTTTAGGTTTCGGTTCGAAACCTTTCAACGCCGTTGCTAAATTCTCCAAGACTGTTCCCTCCTCTCATCACAGTTCTCTACCTTTGTTATGTCTTGGTTCAACTCACGCACAATCCCCTTAATTCACCTCTCAAGACCCTCACTGTGTATCTCTCTTCACATTCCAGAGCCTCTGTTTTTTCCTTTTTAAGATATTACGAGAATAGGGTTGCAGACATATAAGAATATATATATATATATATATATATATATATATATATATATATATATATATATATTGCCGTCCCTAATCCTAAGTCTGCTTATAACTTTATATATATATAGCCTTCTATGAAACCCTAATCCTAGATCCAGCCTAATGATATGTCGGCTACTATATGAAATAAAACCCTAACCCTAAACTATAAATACAACACACATAATTTTATAAGCTACCAAAAATTAAATTAAAACAATAATCAAATATTTAAATTAACCAAAAATTAAATTAAAACAATTACAATCAATTTAAACAAACACAATTACCAATTAAGCAAATAAAACAATTAAGCTAAACAAATAACAAATAAGTCCAATTATTAAAAAAAAAAAAAAAAAATGAAATACAAATCAAAATTGAAAATTAAATTCCCATTCCCATTTTATCCTTTTGAAAACTAGGGGTATTACAATCGCCTTAGCGATTACTTACTCAAAGAAGGGTATGTGAACAGTCATATTTGTCCATGCATTTTTATTAACAAATCAGAATCTGGTTTTGTTATTATTACAGTATATGTTGATGATCTGAATCTTGTGGGAACATTAGACGAGATCGAAAAGACAGCCACTTATTTAAAGAAAGAATTCAAAATGAAAGATCTCGGAAAGACAAAATTCTGGCTTGGGTTGTAGGTTGAATATTTTTCGAGCGATATTCTCATCCATCAATTAACATATACAAAAAAGATTCTGAGACGTTTTCATATGGATAAAGCCTATCCATTACACTCTCCCATGATTGTCCGATCACTTGACATCAAGAAAGATCATTTTCGTCCCCGAGAAGACGATGAAGAACTCCTTGGTCCTGAAGTGCTCTATCTCAGTGCGATTGGTGCTCTTTTGTATCTTACAAATTGCATAAGACCTGACATAATTTTTTCAGTCAATTTATTAACACGATACAGTTCTGCACTAACTCGCAGACATTGGAATGGAATCAAACACATATTGCGATATCTTCGTGGCACAACTGATATGGGCTTGTTTTATTCGAAGGCACCAAATTCTCCATTAGTTGTATATGCAGATGCCGGCTATCTTTCTGACCCACATAAAGCTTATTCACAAACAGGATATGTGTTTACCTGTGGCGGCATTGTTATATCATGGCGATCAATGAAACAGACAATGATTGCAACTTCTTCAAATCATTCTGAGATACTCGCAATTCATGAGGCAAGTAGGGAATGCATTTGGTTAAGATCAATGATCCAACATATTCGAACAACATGTGGTCTCTCATCAACAAAAGATAGCCCAACAGTATTATATGAAGATAATGCGGCATGCATTGCACAGATGAAAGAAGGGTATATTAAAAGTGACAGGACCAAGCACATCTTACCAAAATTTTTTTTATGCAATGAACTCTAGAAAAAAGGGCAATATTAATATTTAGAAGGTACGTTCATGTGAAAATCTAGCAAATCTATTGACTAAAACGCTTCCAACTACAACATTCAAGAAGCTGGTGCACAACATTGGAATGCGTCAACTAAAGGATCTTCAAGGTTGATCTAATGAGGGGGAGCAATTGATCGAAGAGTAATTGGTATACTGTACTCTTTTTCCTTCGTCCAGGTTTTGTCTCACTGAGTTTTTCTGGCAAGATTTTAATGAGGCAGTTTTAATCTATGCAATACCATTTTCAAATACATAAGAATACTGTACTCTTTTTTCTTCGCTAGGGTTTTGTCCCATTGGATTTTTCTTAGCAAGGTTTTAACGAGGCATATTCTTAATGTAATTTTGTGAACCCCAAGGGAGAGTGTTATGTATATATCCAATAAATGAGTGGGGTCCACAATGTATATTGTCATCCATGACATCAAGATTTTAGTTTTACAAAGGAAGATTGCATTTAGTGGCTTCTTTGGAAAGCTTACCTGGACGCCTATATAAGGCCATGCATATATAATGCTTTTATGAATGAAAAAACAAAAGCTGTACATACAGCTTCTCCCTCTGTTCGTCCTCTCTCTCCCTTCCTTCTCTCTCTCACTCTAAAACTTTGTCCTAATTTCCTTATATTATTACTCCTCTATATATATATACACATATATTTATTATATGGAAGTTGTTGTTGTTATTGTTGTTTTCTTTTTTTTCTTTTCTTTTCTTTTTTTTTTTTTTTTTTTTTTTTTCTGGTATTTTGAATATATATATATATATATATTAGTTTATTGTGTTCAAGCCAGCCCCCTCTGAATTTTTTTCTGCGTCCGAGTGTGATATTTGTTTGACTGTTGAAGGTCATTTATATATATATATCGATGTCATGCTCCGAATTGCTGGTTCAAAATTTGCCTACTGAAGTTGACACATGTTCCTTGACTTATAAGTGCATGTGGAATGCCAACTCTTATCCCGTTCCATTTTGGATTGTGCAGACTATAACATATAACTACACCAACACATAAACAAACCGCCGTAACTTTTTTTTTTTTTGGTAACTAAAACAGACTATAAATTATAAGTACACAAACATATACTTTCTTTGGCCCCAATAATTTACATGAACATATACTTCATCTTCTCCTGGAACCCTAATTTATGCCAATACAACACATATTTTTCACTACTATGCCATTTTGTCTCCCCCAAGGGTATTTTGATAATTTGAACTACACTGTTACATTTTTTTTTTTTTTTTCTTTCCTGGCAAAAATAAAGAACATAATTTTACCAAAAAAAATCATTAAAATATCTAACAAAACACAGTCCGAGTTTTACCCGATTTGTGTGGGGTGTCGTCTTGCACGGGTCCAGTTAATTAGTTGGGACAAAGCCCACGATACCACGGTTATCGAGAAAAAAAAAAAAAAAAAAGCAAAAAAAAAAAAAAACAAAACATTATTGGGGAGATTAAAAAATCTCACCACAAATGAGAGCATCAGACAACCCAGGATGAGCCAAGGATATTCCATCTCCTCTTCCCCATGATGACAAAGGTGGAATGCTCTGTTCATTGGTGAAGAAATTAGCAGGATCAACCATTGTCTTCACATGTACCAGTCTCTCGAAGTTACTCTTGAAATAATTCACACCCCAAATGCTTGCTTGTGTGTTGCCTTTATCATCCACACCTATGTCAAAATCTCTGAAGTTGAAAAATGCACTTCTTGGAGACTTGGTAACAAATGGAGTCATATAACTGTAAAGCCTTCTGATCCAACTCATATGCCTTTCACATGCTTCTGTCCCTTTTTCAAACCAAACCACTGCATAATGAATGTTGTATATATTCCCAGCTCTATGAGGGAAAGGTGTTTTGGATTCCGAAATCTCACTCATCCTTCCACCATAAGGACTCAACGTCATCTCAGCCATATTCTCGTCTTCTTCATGAAACCTCTCCCATATGCCTTCTAGTCCATTCTCTGAAATCGGTTCCTCCACAAAATCTGACTTCCCTTTGAAATAGGATTTCCCGCCAAGCTGACTCCTGTCCAACAAAACATCAATGGAGTCTCGACTAGAGTAGCCTGCAAAGTAAAGGGTCGATTCGATCCAGCTCATTTCAATACAATCTTCTTTCAACATACCCAATTCAGGAAAGCTCCTTTGCATCAATGGAAGGAGTGTATCAACTCCACCAAGGTACAGGGACGCGAACGAAGCTCGTATCGTTCTTCCACCATCTTGAGCACTAGACTTCACACTTCTTATGAAGACTCTCATGAATAAGTCATCATCAACTTTGTCCGCAATGTATTGCCACCTGTGGACAAGATTGGTTGCATTTTGTTCCAAGGTCCTGCTGACAGTGAAAACTGTCACAGTGGATGGAACAGCAACCAAATTTATCTTCCATGCAAGAATGATTCCAAAACTAGCACCCCCACCTCCTCGGATAGCCCAAAAGAGGTCTTCCCCCATAGATTCTCTATCAAGAATTCTACCATTAACATCGATTATTAGAGCATCAATGACATTATCTGCAGCAAGGCCGTGTTTACGCGACAGCGTGCTATCCCCTCCCCCACTGATGTGTCCACCAACACCAACCCAGGGGCAAACACCTGCCGGAAAAGCAAGAGTTCTGCTCTTCTGAGCAATGTTGTGGTAGACTTCACCTAGGGTTGCACCGGCTTGAACCCACGCAGTGCTACTTTCAGTGTCAATAGTGATTTTTCGAAGGTTTATGAGATCAACCAGGAAAAATGGGACTTCCGAGACATGAGATAGGCCCTCGTAGTCATGTCCTCCGCTTCGGACTCTCATCTGTATGCCATATTTTTTTGAACAATAGATGGCTGTTTGAATGTGAGACTCATTGAAAGGTGTGACAATCGCCACTGGTTTTGGGGTACTTGGTGATATGAATCTTAGGTTAGGTTTGGAGAAATCTAATATGGATAGATAGGAAGAGTTGTTTTGGGTGTGAATGACTTTGGAGATTGATGTGGAATTTTGAGAATGAAGAGAGAGGCATTGAAGAAAATCTTCCTGGCTATGAGCAGAAACTACCCATGAAATTGAGAAAACAATATAAAAAAGCGAAAACAACGAAGCTCTTGGTGGCTTCGTCATCACTTCTTTGATGATATACATTTTGTGTATAAGAAGAATTATTAATTGGTCTGCTATTTATAACCCTCCGGCAAACAATAGATTTTAATCATGTGATACATCTAGTTTTATTTTCTTATTTCTTTTAGTATTATTACTCCTTTCATCCCAAAAATCTTGGGTATGTTAGGTTTTAATATATATATATATTTTTCAAAATTTGTGCACTTGTATAATAAAGTAAATGTCAAAAGGATAATTTAGGAATGATATAAAAGGTAGTATATCCAATTTAGAAATAGTCTAAAAATAAAAAATAAAAAATAAAAAATAAAAAATAAAAAAAATGGAAAAATATTTTAGACAAAATTAAGTATTCCAAATTTCAAGTTAAGATAATTATTCAAGTTTCAAGGTTATTCTATTTTTTATGATTTTGTGTATAAGGAAGAGAATTGATCTTCTATTCAATATATTTTAATCATGTCATGACGAATTTTTTTTATTTTTTATTTTTTATTGGGTACATAATTTAACATGTGACCACTTCTTCATTGATTTTGTGTGTGAGGAGAATTGGTCAGGTATTTACAGCCATCGGTCAACAATAGATTTCAATCATGTGACATATCTAGTTTTTATTTATTTATTTTTTATTATTATTTGGTTATGTATTCCAATTTGTTATTATATTATTAGGATGAAGAAATTAAGGATTAAGACGCTTTTTTAAACTCATTATTCACGTCCAATTCAACATATGAAATGTTAATTCTAATTACACTTTAAATATTTAATTCGAACTCTATTCATTTTTTTAATTTTTAAACTCGAGTTTGCAACTCGGATTAAAATTTTAGACTAAAAATTCGTGTTAATTTGGGTTATTTCTCTCTCTCTCTCTCTCTATATATATATATATAATCAAAGTCTAGATTGAAAATTTAAAGTGATATTTAATTATTTACAGATTAAATTACTCTTAAACACAACAAATTTTAAAAACTTAATGTGAATTTTTTTAAAATTACAAACAAATTATCAAAGGACCAGTGGCTTAGCGGTATCAGTCTCTTACTTTTCAAAGGAAGGTTAGGGGTTCAATTCTCAAAAGAGACAAGTGTGTGTGAAATAGGAAAAAAAAAAAAAAAAAATTACAAACAAATTCTTAAGAAATTAATTATCAAAGTTTTAACATAAAATAAATTACTATTTAAAGAAGGAAAGTTGAAAAGAAAAGGAAATTATAATTTGAATATTACATATAATAACATCTAAAATAAAATATATGTATATAAATAATATTAGAATTGAGGTATGGGTTGGGCTCGGATTCTAAGCACCTTAACCTAAGTCCAATCTTCATTTTCGGGTTGAACCCAAAAATAGTTTGCCAGGTGAAAAATCTTGTTGGGTTAGCTCACTCGTGCTGTACCCATATGTTTGAGACTATAAAGTACATTTTAGATCATATGAAACCTAAATTATGTATCTTTTTAATTAATTAGTACTTTTCAATATCATGTGACCCCAAATTGAAACCATAAATGCAACTTCTTTAGGGATTAAAATGAGAAGGTAAGTGCACATTGGTTTTTGATTCACATCATTCACATCTCAAAATATATAGTAATAGAATTGTTTGGAGAGAAGCAATTCGGATTAAGGCAATGATGGCAATGATCACAAGTAGGGGCGGTAATTCGTGTTCGTAGGTCATAATCGTGTCATGTCGATATAAGGGTATTTTACTAAATAACTTAACCAGAATACGACCCGTTTAATAACCATGTCAGGAATCCTCAACACTAACCCGACCTGTTTAATAAATGGGTTACATGTGTAACCCGTTTAATGATCTGTTTAATAAAATCAAATATTTTATTATTTAAATTATTAATAATACCCTATCAAATATTAAATACTAGAAAAATATAAGTTTCAATCCAACTAAATTACTAAATAATCTCTAATCTATAAAAAGAAAAAAAATTATAAGATATAAGTTTAGATAGTTATTTTAGAACTTAAATAGAAATTTGTTTATAATACGTATAGTTAAATGGGTATAAACGGGTTACATGGGTTGAACCCCTCAACTCAAACATAACACGATTAATTGTGTTGACCTGTTTATGATCCAAATCCATTTAAGGTCAATCCAAACCTGTTTAACTGGTGTTGTGTTCGAGTCATATTGATAGCTCGTGTCAAACTTTGCCATCCCTTGCACAACGTTTGAAAAACAAGTTCATTATACAATAGACCATAAGTAAGCTGCAGGCCATAGAAATTTCTTTCCAGATAACGTCTTTCTGGTCCAATTAGGCTGCTTGAAAAGCCATCAGTGATTGAGACATTGTCATTCCTAAGGGTCTTTTTAGCAAGGTAAGGGCATACGTAAGTTGAACACTGTGTTCTTCATTATTATAATTTATCCATTCTTTAACCATGCACAAGTTGAAGAAAATGAGGAGAAACAATGGTTTGAATTTTAACGCCATCAGTGATTGAGACATTGTCATTCCTAAGGGTCTTTTTGGCAAGGTAAGGGCATACGTAAGTTGAACACTGTGTTCTTCATTATTATAATTTATCCATTCTTTAACCATGCACGAGTTGAAGAAAATAAGGAGAAACAATGGTCTGAATTTTAACGCCATCAGTGATTGAGACATTGTCATTCCTAAGGGGCTTTTTGGCAAGGTAAGGGCATACGTAAGTTGAACACTGTGTTCTTCATTATTATAATTTATCCATTCTTTAACCATGCACGAGTTGAAGAAAATGAGGAGAAACAATGGTCTGAATTTTAACGTACTATCAGATAATGCCAGAGGATCTTTTAATTCTTATAGTCTTAGCTTTGAAGTTTTTTCACCAATAATTTTCTTAAATACATGAGCAAAAAAGGTGATATTTGGACAAGAAAATTGAACCCATTATTACCTAATATAGTTGACATTTCTCAAGAATAATTCATCAATGTCCTAGACATTGTTAAGACTTTCTAACAGCGCATATTTCTTCCCACTTATATATACATATCGATGTTTAATTTACTGTTCCATTGCTTAGCATTCCAGATTTATTCCCCAGAACAAGAGAAGAAGTGGGTTTTGTGCGCTTGCTGAAAACATGGAACCTGGTAATTGCGCCACCTGAGGTCATATGATGCTGAATTTTAAATCCATGGTTTTGTATACAATCCAAGCAAAATTCAGCCTTCAAATTGTTTATTATGATGAAACTCTAAAATAATCAAAACTGATTCATTCGAAATTAGGGTTATATCTGCAGAACGTATTAAACAGTGTGTGTTGGCACAATAAATTCACACTCTTATTTAGTGGGCAATAGCCCAGTTAGTACAACCCCACCTTCCTCAAAGAGAGGGTCAGAGATTCAGATCTCGGTAGAGATATGAAATATGAGAATCTCACACTTTTGCGTTGAATATCAAAATTGAAATATGATTAACATTTGCTCATTTATGTTTTTATTTGTTGTTCTTCATTCTTTCAAGTTGAAAAATTGCCCTCAGTGTTGGTGCTTGGCCACTGGAAAAGCACCTGCTGAAGTTACATAAACTGGGACGTAAAAGATTTTCAATTTATTCATTAAAAGTGTTTCAATTTATTTCCTTGTATTTCAATTGTAATACACATAAAAGGATGTGCTTGATTAAGTGATATATGAATTACCTTTGCAATGCTAAATAAATTCAAACAGAAAAAATAACAGAGTATTAATTAATTAAAAATTAAATTTTCTAGAAAAGGAAAAATGTGATTTGCATATTTGTTAGTCTTTTAAAAAGGTTAAGGAAAAAAAAAAAGAAAAGAAAAGAAAAAGAGTTGGGTTCAGGTTACTGGGCTAAATTCGGGCTGGACAAACCCAACATAAATTCTGGTTGAGGTCGGGTTGAACCGGGCCTAGGTTGGACGTTCTATCTTGGATTGGGCCTGCCCAACTTGCACCCCTACCTAACCCATAAAGTAAAGAGGATAAAAACTTTTATGGGCAAGTAAAAAGCGCGTCGAGTTCTTTTCCGCATTGACTGCAAAAACAAAAAGAGTTTTGCATCCAAATTCGGGGAGCAAATTGTTCCATGAGCTTAACGGCCTTAACCGGGACCCAAGAAAAATTTGTGGGTTGGGCTACAACTGGGAAGTTAGGCCGACTTCGTGATTGGGCTAGGTTTAGGGTTATACCACCAGCCTAATTCTATGTAATGTGTCCTCTCTCTCTATTCTGGTAGAAACAATTGCTTTCCTTTGCTGAGCATTTCACCCTAAAAAAAAAAAAAAAAATACAATGTCGTTCCAAACACAAGAAAACAAAAATAAGTAGGGCAAATTACACAAACCACCCACGAAGTTTCGATACTATACATGTAGATAGAAGTTATAGCAATATTACACGAAGGTCCATATTGACCGCTTGACCAAAAAAAATCAATACAAATTTACACTTTTAACCTTAAAATTAAAGTATTTATATTTGATAAAAAAATAAAAGATATTGTATTTGGGTCTATGATTGGTTCTGTTGTAGATAATTTTGTGGTTTTTGCAATTTGGTGATGGAGTCTTAGGGGCAAAATTGTAACTTTAACAATACACAAAAAAATTTAGATTTTTTTATTAAACAAATAGTTTAACTCTAAGGACAAAAATGTAAATTCATATCAATCCACTAACCACAAACAGTTAATTTGGACATTTCTGTTATATTGTGGCTATCTTCTATCTATATGTACAAGTTGAAAACCTGATGGGTCTTTTGTGTAATTTAACCAAATAAGTATAATAATAAATAAATTATTATTTTTATTTTATAATAACGGTGGAACTCCTCCAAGACAGACCCACTCTTGGCGGATAAACCACGGGGGCACTCGCGCAGTGCTGCATGCCCCTTCAATCTGACAATCAAGTACGTGCTAGATTTTTTGTTTGATAGTTCAAGATCACCATGGCCACTGTTAATGGTGAGATTTGCTTGTGCATTACTGCCTA